GGAAAGAGGCTGCTGTACCAAAGCAGAGCTTGCAGGTGGTGCAAACCTCACACCATGGGCCTACAGCCAAGCTCCCAGCACACTGGAGGAAGGCAGAAAAAGACATGTGGGCTGTAACTAGCCAGTGGCTTCAACACCAACGAAAGGCTTCCCTCCACTTCCAACTCTGGAGCTCTGCCCCTCATTCCTCAGAGGCAGCTGGTACCTGGGGTCTTCTTCTGACATTTTTTTCCAGCACAGTCTGCAGCCAGGAAGCTCTGCGTCTTCCACGGAGCAAAAACAAAATACCAAAGGCTTGGACTTGCACGTGCTGCTCCCAGCACTGGTAATGTGGTCTCCACCCAGGAAGAGGCAGCAACAGCACACTGGTTCTGCAAGTGACTGTCACGGTTTAGAGAAAAGAGCTCCTCTCTCAGGGGGTTTGCTACAAAACAGCATGTTTTAGGCAGGAGACTGAAGGACAAACTCTGATTCTGCCTTAGCAGCACCATGTGCTCTCTACTGCATGGCAAAAAAGATGGCACTTGGCCACAGGGGACTGCAGAGCATCTCCCACTTGGAGAGGACCAAGGAGTGTGCCATGGAACCACCTTGGAAAGCTGCACAACTCATTGTCCTGGCAACATGCCCCAAGGTACCAGCTACTGTGCCAGCCTGCACTCCTATCCCCAGCAAAGTACAAACCCATGGGACTTGGAGCAACTGGGAAAGCAGAGACCTGCAGATATAGTCACCCTGTCCCACCAGCCCCATGCATCTCCCCAGGGATTTGGGGAATGGAGGCAGCTGGAGCAGGCCCAGACTCCCCAGTTCATACCTTCTGGATGGCTTCAAAGTAAGGAAGGAAAAGGTCAGTGTCATAGTTGGACATCTTGTTCTGCAGCACTGAGACCAGTCTCTCCAGGCCCATCCCGGTATCGATGCTTTTCTTGGGAAGAGGTTTCAGTGTCCCATCAGCTTCCCTGTCCAGCCACAAAAAGAAAGATAAGCTGTTACGGATGGGGAGCTCTGCAGGGGCAACCTCAGCTCTCCACTCATCTCCGTGAGATTTTGTTCCACCAGCTTTATGATACAGGCCCACATACAAGCCACACACAAGAAAAGTTTGTAAAAATATAGTTAACAAGACCCTCTAGTGACAACTTAGAACCAGAACAGGGTGACATTGATTCCCTCCTGAACCCCTGGCAGATGAACCGAGAAAATCTTTCCAGTCCGCCCCCAAAGCCAGTGTGACCAACTTCTTCTGTACAGCTGGGTGGGGGGCCAGAGCATCATAAACTGGGTGGCTCCTGGACAAGAGAGAACAGCGAGCAAGCCAGGAGCCGTGACACCAGCCCGAGCAGCCTGGGGAAGGAAGGAGGCCTGGCTCACCTGTTGAACTGTATGAACACCAGGTTCCAGATCTCCAGGACGTTGGGGTCATCCTGATTGACCAGGTGGGCAGCGTCTCTGTCCCCGATCCGGTCATAGTGGATCTCGCTGCAAGGGCCACAGGGACCCGTGTCTCCCATTTCCCAGAAGTTGTCCTTCATATTGCCAGGCAGAATCCTGCTCTCAGCCAACCTGGGAGGAGAAACTTGTACTGAATATCAGAGACAGAGCAATGAAAGAATTCCCCATGCTATGGGCTACACCAGAGAAACCTCAGCTCACTAATTCCCTTGATCAGCAGATGAACTGTCAGTCTTGACACAGACTAATCTCAGGATCCCTACTGAGGAGGATCAAGTGAACATGTCTGGCACTTGTCCCAGGTGCAGGCAGAAGCCTACACACCACCATGGTCTTCTTATCAGGGCCTGTTGGGACAGGGCAAGGGGGGATGGTTTGAAACTAAAAGAGGGAGATTTAGACTAGAGAGAAGGAAGAAATGTTTGACACTGAGGGTGGTGAGCCCCTGGCCCAGGCTGCCCAGAGAGCTGGTGGATTCCCCATCCCTGGAACCATTCCAGGTGAGGTTGGCCGGGGCTCTGAGCAACCTGCTCTAGCTGCAGATGTCCCTGCTCCCTGCAGGGGGTGGGACTGGATAGTCTTGAAAGATCCCTTCCCACCCAAACCAGTCCATGATCCTACCACTCAGCTAAGCCACCATCCAGAAGACAGCAGATGTCCAGCTTTAACACACACGAGGTGGATTTGGTGCCACAGCACACAGGTGTGTCAGGGGGTCAGTGGTGGTTTCAGAGTGGACTACAAACCACAAGACTAAAGGCACAAGACTAAAAGCACCATTCCACTGCCACATCGAGCTCTGGCCACCCACAGCTTGAGTGCTGAGTGCTCGCTTCCTCAAGGAGGGTGACGTAGAAGTAGCAAGCATATAGAGGAGGGCAACTAAAACCATCCAGGGGTGGAACGGCTGCCTTAGGAAGAGAGTAGGGCCGTTCTGTTTGGAGAGGACAAGGCTACTGGGAGACTACTGTGGAGATTCAGAAAAACCCAAGAGGGTCAAACCACAATCAAACATGATCTGAAGGAGCAGGGCACCAACCAGGGGCTACAGGGAAGAGATGAGTGACGGGAGATATTTTGAAATGAAAGCTCTTGGTATCCTCTGTCTAGCCCTTCCCTTTGGCTTTGCAGCTCCACTGCCCTGCAAATGTTATTTGTGACACTTCAACCTTGCTAAAACCTCCTGTTCTATGTGCTGTGCCACACACCATCTTTCTCTGAAGGACTATGGCCCATCAAAACGTGCACCTTCCTCAGCTGAAGGCCTTACCCCAAATTCAACCATATCTGCTTGCATTCCAGGTCTGGCTGCAGTCCTGCAGCCTCGTTGCCACCAAAGTAAGTGACATAGAGCCTTTCAGCAGGGATGCCAAACTCCTTGGTGAGAAGGTCCAGTGCCAGTTTACAAGCAAGTTCCTGCAGAAGGGAAGATGAGGTCAGCAAAGGAATCATAGAATCATTAAGGTTGGGAAATACCTCTCAGATCATCAAGTCCAAGCGTCAACCCAACATTACCATGACCACTAAACCATGTCCTGAAGTATCATGTCTACATGTTTTTTGAGCCCTTCCAGGGGTGGTGACTCCACCAACTCCCTGGGCAGTCTGGCCAAGGCCTCACCACTCTGGAAGGAAAGAAATTCTTCCTGATATCCAACTGAAACCTCCTCTGGCACAACTCAACCCCTTTCCTCTCATCCTATCACTGGTTACTTGGGAGAAGAGACCAACCCCCACCTCCCTACAACCTTCTTTCAGGATCTGGAGAGAGAAAGAAAGAGAGAGAGAATTCAAAGACAGTACTGGCCACTGGAAGTATCAGCAGCTGAACGGCCAAAAACTTTCAGACTTTTGATATAAGAGGCAAATTAATACATGCAGTGAACAGAAAACAATAAACATCTCATATGGCTTCCCAGATGCAGCCAAGTTAACTCCTAGGACATTCACTGCCCCTAAGAAAGCCTTTTAACACTACTGTTATTCTGTATACTTAGCACCCTCTTTCTGACTTTGACCACTATGCTACCAAGAGGCTTGGGAAATGACATCGTTGCTTTATGATCACTCCTGCTTGAAGGCCTGTCCCAGTTACACAGCACATCCAACTCCCCACAGCTTCAGGGCAGCCACAAAAACCTCTGCCTGAAGACTCCACACTGGCAGAGTTAATATAATCAGCTTTGTAAACCTTAAGTAATTAATCTGAAAACATTCTGCAGCGTTGGGGCAGATTCCAAAGGAGCCACAACACCTCAGGAACCACTCTATGCGAGATATTCTCTTTCCTCTTCCCAATTGCTCTGCTGAGCTCACAGAGATGGGCAACATTGTGCAAGAGACTCCGAGCTGCACCTAGCCTGTTTTACCTTGAAGTAATCCCCAAAGGACCAGGAGCCCAACATCTCGAAGAAGGTGTGGTGGTAGACATCCTTCCCAACATCGTCCAGGTCGTTGTGCTTGCCCCCTGCTCGGATGCACTTCTGAGTGTTGGTGGCCCTGCTCAGTTTAGCAAGCGGGTGCGAGGGGTCAATAGTGTTGAGGAAGATGGGTTTGAACTGGGAGAGGAAAAAAAATGAAGGAAAGCATTAAAGGCCTGTTTTGAAACATGGCAAGTGTCACCTACATCACGATACCACCAGCCTGAACATACACGAGGCCGCTCTCAGAAACAAGCCTGCTATTTCCTGCCTGTGAGAAGGCTGCAGCACTGCCTAGAACTCAGCACTCCTCCACATGCATGTGTTCCTGGAGCCCACCAAACCCCAGGACTTCCAAAGGGACTCAGAGTAGCCAGATTTCCAGCTAACAAAATAAAAAAGGCAGTGAAAGCTGAAAGCTGCATGCTGATCTCCAGCAGAGCCCTTCCAGCAGCCCAGCCTCATACACTCTTTAAAGATGCCGTCGGTCATTTGTGCCAGGACTAGCTGTGGTCCAAAGGGTCACGGGAGGGAGACTGGCAGCGCTCCCATCGCTGCCCAGTCAGCCCAGCAGACACAGGAACCTCCTCCAGTGCTCTTGCCAATTTTGTGAGAGCGCAGAGGACTCCAGCAGACTCACCTAACACCTCTTTGTCACCAGAAGGAAGACGGAGAAAACAACAATAATTTTCCACACAAACAGCTTCACGGGTTTCAACTGCTACAGGACACGTTCACAAGGACCACAGGGTGGGAATCCTACCTGGTTCATACCAGCATTGGCAAAGAGCAGCGTGGGGTCGTCCAGGGGGATGGTAGAAGAGGAGTGCACGTAGGTGTGCTCATTTTCCTTGAAGAAGTCAATAAACCGTTGCCGGATCTGGCTAGCTGTTAGTGGAGCTTCCATCCTGAAGCTGGAAGTCACAGCTGTCCACAGCAGGCAGAAGGGAAAGCGGCAAGGCCTTGGTGCAGTCTGAAAAAAAAAAAAACCAAGGCTCTTACACATTTTCAGCTCAAGCAGAAACTTCAGGATCACTGCCTCCATCTCCTGAAAGGGTGTCCCCACACTGACAAGGCCACAGTGACTCCTTTAGTTCATCCATCAGTCTGCCCCAAATAGCACTGGCCCAACCCAAAACTGCCTCCTCCAAACCTCTCTGATTTCTAGAGTTCTACCTCAAGTTACCCATTCTTCATAAATGTGGTTTTAAAATACCAAGTTCACCTGGATACTAAACTTAGTAAGAAGCTGTATATAGCTTGCTGGGGACGTGGGGAGTGGGGAAGGGATTGTCAAGTCCTAAAATCATTCAAGGTGATTAAATCAGAGGATCACAGAATATGAAAATGACCTCTGAATATCACCTCACCCACTGCCACTGCTACTGCTCAAAGCAGGGTCAGCTCCAGGCATGCCTGGAAACCTTCCTCCAGAGGAACCACACACCGGCGGTTGCCAGCTTGGAGGTGAGCAGCTCCTGCACATCCTAACGGGGACACGGAGCTGTCCCTGCCCAGGCAGCGCAATGCGGTGCACGAGAGGGCCAAGCTCCCAGCAGCCTGCGCCGGGGCCGGGATTCCTCATGACTAAGGGCTGTTGGAGAAGGGAAGGAGGGAGGTGAGGGGAGAAACAGGGAGCCGAGCAGGGAAGGATGGAGGCGAGGAGGGAAGGAGAGAGCCGAGCAGGGAAGGACGGAGCCGGCACAACAGCGGGTCCCGGTGCAAGCAGGGCCTCTGCCCAGGCACCACCCGCTCTCCATCGCCCAGGAGGAGGAGAGGGCATAGCGGGAACCCGACGGCCGTAGCGCCGGCAGGCAGACAGGTAGGCAGACAGACATTCCCCCGCGGCCCCGGCC